AATAATCAGAGAAATGCAAGTCAAAACTACAGTGAGATATCATCTCGCCCTGCTTAAAATGCATTTTATCCAAAAGTCAAAAAGTAACAAAAGCTGGCAAGGATGTGAAGAAAGGGAAATGTTCATACACTGTTGGTGGAAATGTAAATTAGAGCAATCATTATGGAAAACAGTGTGATAATTTTGAAAAACATTAAAAATGAACTTATCATATAATCTAGCAATCCCACTACTGGGTATATATTCAAAGAAAATTAAATCAGTATGTCAAAGAGATTTCTGCACTCTCATGTTTATTACAGCACTATTCACAATAGCCTAGAATCCACCTAAGTGTCCATCAATGAATGAATGGATAAAGAAAATTTAGCATATATGCTGTATTTGGCCATTCTTGTACTGCTATAAAGAAATGCCTGAGACTGGGTAATTTATAAGAAAAGACATTTAATTGACTCCTGGTTCTGTGGGCTGTACAGGAAGCATAGTGCCAACATAAGCTTCTGGGGAGGCCTCTGGAAGCTTGAGAACTCATTCACTATAATGCGGACAGCACCAAGCCATGAGGGTCACCTCTATGACCCAAACACCTCCTGCCAGGCCCCATCTCTAACACTGGGGATTACAATGTAACATGAGATTTGGATGAGGACAAATATCCAAACTATATCATATGCACAATAGAATACTATTCAGCCATAAAAAGGATGAAATTGTGTCACTTGTGACAGCATGAATGAGCATAGAGGACACTGTGGGAAGTGAAATAAACTAATCATAGAAAGAGAAATATCACATGATCTCATTCATATATGAAATATTAAAAACAAAACAAAACAAAACAAAACAAAACAAAAAAACTGATCTAACAGAAATGGAGAGTAGAAGAGTGGTTACCAGACTGAGAAGGACAGGGAGGAGAGGTTGATGGGGAGAGTTGGCCAATGGGTACAATATTACAATTAAATAAGAGGAATGAGTTCTGGCATTGTATTGCACATTAGGGGTGACCATAGATAACAACAATAATAAGGCATTGTGTGTTTTAAATAGCTAGAATTTTGAATCTTCTCACAACAAAAAATTATAAATGTTTACAGTAATGGACATGCTAATTACTATGACTTGATTATTTAACAATTTGTCATGTATCAAAATAACCACATTGTACCCCATCATCATGTGAAATTATATTGTGTCCACTTAAAAAACAAAAAAGGAAATGGAAGAGTCAAGATACTGGGGCATTCAAAGAGATAGAAGAGAAGGTGAATTCGCAGAAATGAAGAGAGAATCTGACAGAGCAGGTCACAGAATGAAACATTAGAGTTTATAATATTAGAAATCAATTTTTAAGTTATTGAAAAGTTAAGTTTATAACCATGAAAGTGAGTAGCTAAATTGAAGTGAAAGTAAAAGTCAATCAAAGATTAAATTGGCAAATACATTGCTTGGCATTGAGGAGTTACTTTAGAAATATTAATCTTAAGAAAATTAAGAACACCAAGGCACTCATAGTGGGCCATTATCATAACACGAATTTATGTGGTAATATTTTATTCTCTCTAGTGAAGGGAGTAATTCAACAGTCTTGATTATAAGTCAGAAAATGATTTCTCCAGGTGTGACCCACTGAAGACATTCATTGTATTTGAATTGCTTGAGAAGCTTGTTTCAAGAGAAAATGAAATATTTTAAGATGGACCAAAGAAGTTACCACTGAGTGTCTTCAATGGAATACCCAGCCTTGTTTAGAATACTCTGGGTTATCTGTTTCTAACATTTTCTTTGTTATTTGCAATTCTGTTAGTTGCAGATTACTGTTAGTAATGCAAATATTCTTGTCTATAGACATGCAAATGATTGATTTTGGTGGAAGTATAATTAATTTTCCTTCCTCCACCTCCCATCAGGAAGTCAGTTTTGAATCTATGGAGCAAGTTCATTTCAGTGTTTCTTAGTGCCTAGATATGTATGGTTCTTTGAATTTTCCACAAAACTCATTATAACATCACACTGGCTCCCTCATTAAATAAATGAGTTAAACAACAATCTTAGACAAGTGTTCATTTTATATTTGTAAGCCATAATTTACCGTATTTTAAGAATTTTCCTTTAACATTCCTAAAAATACAGATTCCTATGTCCCTTGTTAGACCTACTGAATCAAAATCTCAGGCTTAAGGCACAAGAATTTGCATTGTTAGTAAGCTTTTCAAGTGATTTTTAGGCATACTAAAGTGTATTAACTATTAAATTCTATTACTAATTCCTTAAACTTGAATAAATTCTTGTAATTTGTAATTCCATCTTCATCAAAGTAAACTTTTGGTTAGCAAAATGGTAGAAACCCCCTTATTCAATGAGATTGGGACCATTAATAAATAGATTAACAACAAATTTAAGTTAGATGGAGGAATCGTTCAAGAAGTATTTACATGTATGTCCTTAAAACTTAATTTTAACTTAAAAGACGTGTAAATAAATTTGCAGTATTTGGATGATAAGTTCAAAGGCTTGCATGGATTCACTGAGTGGACTTTCTTGTGGAAACTATGTCAATGATATGTTGTCATTGATTTCTTGTTCACTTTCTGTGAAGAGAACTGGGGTCTGAAATCCTAGATTATATAATTTTTCCCATTTGTTTCTAGCTTTCTTGCCAACCATTAAGCCGTCAGCAACTGTTTGTGTCTCATTTTTCTAACACATTTAGTTTATTTCTCAGAAAAACAACAATACTACTCTTGTTATACTCATTTTCTCAGTTTACGTAACTTAATTAAATTGCATAACTACAAGAACAAGAACAAATGGTGTAAACATATTTAGGAATGAACACAGCTTCCTTTTAGAAAATATACAATTTGCATGATAGAAGGGGAAATGTATAGGCATTGATAGTAACTCAGGGACTTTCAGTTTGCAGTGGACCTCAGTCAGTAAGTTGTACAGGGGTACCAGAAAGTGCTGACTGCAAATCAGTTAAGTGGAGGTCAGTTAAGGCAGCATCCACTGTATCTTAACTTGTAAAGTGAATGTTCCAGGACCAGGCTCACTTTTGCCCCACAAAAAATATATATATTTTGTAATTTTGTGGGGTTATTTTATTGATAATTAATCAGTGATATATAAGGCTACCGATTAGGTCAGTATGAAATAATCAACATTACTAACTTTAATGACTTAGTTCCAGATAGAAATAAAAAGTATTTACTACATATAAAACTTAAAATCTATGTAGCTTTTTCTAGTGTACATACATAACTTTTTGAGATTTTTTCAAATATTAAATACAACTTTTGGGAATCCCCACACCTGGCTCCCCATGATGACATTCGAGGATTCCTTAGGATTCTGGGGATCTGAGACTGAAAGCCACTGCTCTGTAGGAATGAATGGATGGCTGAAAAAAGAAAGGGAAGTAAGAGGTAACAGCATGTTTACTAATTGTAAATTAATCATGAATGAAATTTTATTTTATTAATAAATTCGTTAACTTTGGGTTGCCAAATCTAACAAGATATCCACATGGCATTCATGGTGATCACACTTCTAGTCAAATTTTATCTTAGTTCAATGACTATATTATTAACATCGCCCTAAAATACAAAAATTTCTGCCTTAATTCTGTGAATAATTCAGTTAATAATCACCCTATACACTAATGAATGGAATGGTTCTGGGAATAAAGATAATTACAGGCTAAAAGATATTTTTTCTGGGGGCAGAGCATAGGATTTTGTTGTTTTACTAGAATAAAACAAAATTAATCAGTATTTTATGCAACCAGAGGCTTTTGACTCAGTGGTCCATTAATATCTATCAATCACTATAACCTCAGTCCTATTTCTTCCATTCTTCTTTTTGCTATCATAAAAACTTGCCTATTTTTTCGTTAGATCTATTCCTCCATTAATTTTAAGATAATGGCCTCCAGCTGCAACCATGTTGCTTCAAATGAGATGATTTTGTTATTTTTATGGCTGCATAGTATAGCATGGTGTATGAAATGGTTTGGAACATGGCCCCTCTAAATCTCATGGTGAAATGTAATCCTCAGTGTTGGAGGTGGGGCCTGGTAGGAGGTATCTGGGTCATGGGGATGGATTGCTCATGGCCTGATACCATCCTTGTGAGAGTGAATTCTTTCAAGATTTGGTTGTTTAAGAATGTGTGGCACGTACCTCCTCCCCCATTCTCTTTGCTCCTGCTCTGGCCATGTAATGTGCCTGCTCCTTCTTTGCCTTCCACCATGAGTAAAAGCTCCCTGAGGCCTCCCCAGAAGCCAAGCAGATGCCATCACCATACTTCCCATACAGCCTGCAGAGCTGTGAGCCAATTAAATCTCTTTTCTCTATAAATTACCTAGCCTCAGGTATTTCTTTATAGCAATGCAACGATGGCCTAATAATACAGTGTATATGTACCACATTTTACATATCCAATCCACTGTTTATGGGCAGCTAGGGTGATTCCATGTCTTTGCTATTGTAAATAGTAATGTGATGAACATTTAAGTACAGGTGTCTTTTTGGTAGAATAATTTTTATTTTGGTTATATACTAGCAATGAAATTGTTGGCTTGAACTGTAGTTGTATTTTAGATTCTTTGAGAAATTTCCAAACTGCTTTCAACAGTAGCTGAACTAATTTACATTCACACAAATTATGTGTCAATGTTGCCTTTTTTCCAGAGCCTCCCAACATCTGGGTTTTTTTTTTACTTTTTAATAGTAGCTATTCTCACTAGTGTGAGACCGTATCCTGTTTTGGTTTTGATTTGCATTTCTCTGATGATTAGAGATTAAGCCTAATCTCTGCCACCATAAAGCTGGGAAAATACAGTATTACTTGTCAAAATAAATGGTTTTACTTTGCTTTAGGAAGGGAGGTGGGCGGGGTTGGTGTCACATACGCAAATAACACCCACCGCTGCGGAGGAATCCCCGCGGACTGCCACTCGCTTCGTCCCGTTCTCCCGCAACTGGTCCTCTCACCTGCTCACTGATTCCCTTGAAATTCTTCAGCGGCCACAGGACACCGACCGGCCTTCTCCATCCTGGTTCCTGTCACATGCTTCACAGGCCCGGCCGCTCGCGGCCGCCCCGCGCCTCTACCTTACTGCTTCTGCCACCTCCGTCGGGCAGAAACTCGGGTGCGTTCGAGACCCTCCTCAGACACCGCCTCCCGACCCCGGTCTGCAACTCTTCACCTCCGCCCAACTTCCCACAGCACTCGCGGCGGACGGGGCGCTTAATTCTATTTCAGGGAGTAAGAACCGTCGCCAGCCTGCAGCCCTAGCGTGAGGCGGCTGCAGAGCGCGCGCGGCAGCCCAGTCAGTCACTCGGGCACTGGCGCCTCAGGCGGGCTCTCCTCCCCTCCAGGAGGCGCGAATCCTCAGGGATCCCCCGCGCGCGGACTTTCGGCCCTCTGCGGCCGCCGTAGCTCCCCCGCCCCCCCCATACCCCGTCCCCGCCCCCGCCCCCGGCAAACACCCGGAAGCGGAATCCCCGGCCGTTCTGCGTGTGGGTGAGGACCATGGCGGATTCTGGGGCGACGCCTCTGCACGTACTCTTTCGTACTTAGTCAGGGAGCGTTTACTTCGCCACCACCTCTGCTCCTCCCCGGCCGCCTGCTCCGTGTCAGATACTCGTCCTGAGCCCGCTTCAGCCTCTCAGTGCGGAAGTCTCCCGGAGTCATGGCCGAGTACTCTTACGTGAAGTCGACCAAGCTCGTGCTCAAGGGAACCAAGGCGAAGAGGTGAGCCCTGCAGCTCGGGCCGGAGCCTCCTCAGTTCTTCTCGAACGCACTGCACCCCTGCGAGTCCGGTGGAAGCCGTGGCGTGGAGGGCCGGCTCTGGGCCCTCCGGGGCTGGACGGAGGCTGCGCCGCGGTTCCCAGCGTCTGTGCAGAGAGAGGCAGCCTCCCGCCTGGACGACCTTGGAAACAGGGTAGACGGGCGGGTGACCCACAGCCTCGAGGGTGGGTCCCCCGAGGCATCTCCAGGCCTCTGCCTGGTGGGTCTGCATTAGTCGATCTCGTAGTTCATGGTAATAACTTCCTGTATTAGGGATTATACTTTTCACCGTCGTCTGTTTTCTCCCTAGAAGAATTCTTGATTAATATTTTCTAACGTAATACGTCGAGTGAAACCAGGATGAATCACACAGTGGTTGAGGTGTATATGGGCTTTGATAGGGATATGGGCTCGAACCTGCACTCTATCGTTTACTAATTTTGTAATTTATGGCACATTGGTTAATATATCTGAACTTCCATTTACTCATTTATTAAGTTATCAGATATCTTTGAGCCTCTGTTTACACATTTATGCTTTTAGAAGATTATTTGTACTTTTAGAAGACAGTGAGGATTACATGAGAGAACATATGTGCAGTAAATAAATTGAGCCAAATTCGAGGAGGAGGTCGTTGTGGTAATTTATTAGCTTTTTAGGGAGAAATACCTGTGCAGTCATATCCCTGCTTCTTTTTTAATTGGCAAATTTGCCAGACGTTGACTACATACAAATGTTGAGCATTTTGTCCTGGTCTCTGTGATAAACAGAGGTTTTGATACTTCTAGGCATCATGGAAAAAAAGTATCAAGGAGTGAGCTGAAGCCACTGTCCTTGAGAACTCTGCCTAGGAGTCTGGCCTTATGAAGATGCTAGAATAAATGGCAGATTTATCCAGAATAAATATGAGATTTTTACTCTATGAATTTCGTGGGAAGAGAGGAGAGTTTTCTGAAAACTGTGATGAAAATGCAGACAAGGGTGCATTTTTCGTAATCATCATATCGTAGTAATCATAGTTAATGCTTAATAGCACTTTCAATGTGCCAAGAAATTGTTATAGGCACTTTGCACCTTGACTTTTTTCAAATCGCCCTTGGTTTTTTCTTTTTTCTTGAGATGTAACTCATAATTATAAAATGTACCCTTTTGTACAGTCAGTGGTTTTTAGTATATATTCAAGAGGTTTCATTGTACAATTGCTCAGCATTTTCATCATCCCAGAAGGAAACCTCCTCCTACCCATTAAAGCAGTCACATCTCATCCTCCCCTTCTTCTAGTCCTTGGCAACCACTAATCTGCTGTCTATATGAAATTGCCTATTCTGGGTATTTCATAAGAAAGACATAGAATATGTGGCTTCTTGTATCTGGTTTCTTTGACTTAAAACATTCTTGAGGTTCATCCATGTCGTAGCACTTGTTCCTTTTTATGGCTGTGTATATTCCATTGTACAGATGTGACACGTTTTGTTTATCCATTCATCAGATGATGAACATTTGAGTCGTTTTGACTTTTTGGCTATTATGAATAATGCTAGTATGAATATTATTATGTAAGTATTTGAGGGCATATGTTTTCATTTCCCCTGGGTATGGATACTTAGGAGTAGAATTCCTGGGTCATATGGTAACTCTTTAACTTTTTGAGGAACCCCGAACCGTTTTCTGTAGATGCTGCACCATTTTATATTTCTACCAGCAATGCGTGAAGGCACATAATAGCTCTTACTCCTCACAGTAACCTTAAGAGTTAGGTTAAGTTGCGATCCTAATTTTATAAATGGGGAAACTGACTCACGGAGAGATTCAGTACCTTTTCCAAAAATCACAGAGCTAAGAAGTGACAAAAACAGGATTTAAAGCCTGGCAGTGTGGCTCCACAGTCTGCTTTGAACTCTCATGGTATGTATAGAGTCTGAAGCAACTTTTCAGTGTGTATTTAAGAGGGCATAGCAATGTAAGTCATCCTAAATCAATCATTTATAAATGAAACAGTTTAAAAGACTTCTAAGCTTCAATCTTGTGATATTTATTTGTCATACAAATCAATATAGTAAACTCATCTATGTAATTTATGTCCGTAGTAAGAAGAAAAAGAGCAAAGAGAAGAGAAAAAGAGAAGAAGATGAAGAAACCCAGCTTGATATTGTTGGTGAGTGAGTTTTCAGCACTCTATTCTGGAAAAAGTTAATGTTTTAGGGGATCTCATTGAAAATATTTTCTTAGAAATTTATGACATATTCATATTTGTCCTAAAGTGCTTAAATGCTACCTACAGTTGTAAATTCAATTTATTCTTTAGCAAGGTAGATCCTACTGATGCCTTTACTTCATTATCAGAACAAAGCACAGGAGAGAAGGATTATAATTCTTTGACTTAGTAGGTACCATTACACTGCTTAATAGCCAGAGATTCTGATACATAATTTTAAAGGCCTAATGTAAATGTTATTCAACTAAGTATATTTTAAAAACTATTTTCTTTGAACATGTATGTATTTTAATAGTAGAAGTCAGTTGTCTCTTAAAGGAATTATCTTCACAGGAAAAATCATTATTACTTCATGAACTCTGAAATGAATGAAAATTTTAAATACAACATCAGGGTAGCCTCTAATTGATACTAGAAATAAACTGTATAATAAATAAATCCAAACACACTTAACTAGCTTATTCTCCGTTTAGTACTTTCCATAATTTACAGCACTTTTTTTTCTCTTTTAAAACTTGGCAAGTTGCATTTTGAATTTTCATAAATTATGGCAACTTTAAAAATATATAAAGTATGGAATGTCATAAAGCTAATGTTCTGGAAGAATCATTGTTTTTCAATTGGCAAATCAACAATTCTAAAATTAGGGTAAATAAGGTAGATACATAGATGTGGAATTGCTGTGTCAAAGGACAGGTGAATGTTTAACTCTGTAAGAAACTGCAAGGAATTTTGTAAACTGGTTTTATCATTTTACTCTCCCACCAAAAATGGGTTACTGCTCCAGTTACATCCTTGCCAAGAGTTGCTGGTGTTATCAGTCTTTTCTACCCGTCTGAGTTTTACCTTTTCAGTTTCTTAATGGTGGTTTTTGGATGTGCAGAAGTGTTTATTTTTATAAAACTCTGTTTGTTTGCTTATTTTTTTGAGACGGAGTCTCGCTCTGTCGCCAGGCTGGAATGCAGTAGTGCGGTCTGGCCCACTGTAACTTATGCCTCCTGGGTTCAAGCAGTTCTCCTGCCTCAGCCTCCTGAGTAGCTGGGAGGCAGGCGCACAACCACCACACCCAGCTAATTTTTGTATTTTGAATAGAGATGAGGTTTCACCATGTTGGCCAGGATGGTCTCAATCCCCTGACCTCGTGATCTGGCCACCTCAGCCTCCCAAGGTGCTGGGATTACAAGCGTGTTACTGCTTTATCTTTCTGATCTAAGAGATCTTTGCTTACCCCAAAGTCAGAAAAATATTCTACATTTTCTTTTAGAGGCATCATAGTTTTAGTTTTTACATTAAATCTGTCATTCATCTCAAATTTTTTTGGTATGGTGTGGGTTAGGTTTCAAGGTTCACTTTTTTTTTTTAACATACTGATAGCCAGTTGTTCCAGCACCATTGTTGTTTCCTTTTTCCATTAATCCACTTTGGTATCTTCATAAAAAATCAATTAATCTATGTATTGGTCTATATTTGGACTCTGTTCTATTGATATATTTGTATGTTTTTCCATTGATGTATTTCTTTTGATTGCTATAATTTCATGAAGTCTTAAGATCAGGTAGTATAAGTCCTCTAAGTTTGTACTTATTAACTATAAACTTATTAATTTCTACAGTGAAGCCTGTTGCATTTTCTCAGAGAATTGTGTTCTTTCTAATCCTTTTGTCTTGTCTTTTTATTGCTTTATTATACTGTCCAGGACCTCCATAGTGTTAAAAAGAAGTCATGAGAATGGGCATAATTGCCTTTTTTAAAAGGTTAGGCCGAAAGCTTTCAGTAGTCCACTATATATAGGATCTGCAGAGATACCCTTTATCAAAATGAGGATATTCCTTTTAAATTTTGTTTCTTGGGAGTTTCTATCATAATAGTGTTTAATGCTTTCAGATGCCTCTTTCTGTATCTGTTGAGATGATTATACAGCTTTCATTATTCTGCCAGTGAATTACATTGGTTTCATTTTCAACTTTAAACTAACTTTACATCCCTAAGATAAACCCCGCTTTTGTTGTGGTGCTTTGTACTTTGGGATAATGCTAGACTTGATTTCTAGGTGTTTTTCTTGTTGTTTTTTAAGATACCTATATTGGTGTTGATGTGAGATACTAGATTTTTTGTTTCCTTTTCTTGTAATGTCTTTATTTGATTTTGGTGTCAAGATGATACTGGGTGTCATAAAATGACATGGGAAGTACTCTCTCCTTCCCCGTTTTTGGAAATAGCTGTTGTGGAAGATGGGTATGATTTCTTCTTTACATTTGTGATAGAATTCACCAGTGAAGTCATCTGGACCTAGAGGGTTTCTTTGGTTTGGTTTTAGTTTTTTGTGGTAAAATTAATTATTTTATTCATTTTTCTTTTTACTTTAATGTCTGTAAGTTATCTTAAAGTTTTGTTTTGTTTTGTTTTGGGATACGGAGTTTCACTCTGTTGCTCAGGCTGGAGTGCAGTGACGCAATCTTGGCTCACTACAACCTCAGCCTCCTGGCTAATTTTTTGTATTTTTACTAGAGACAGGGTTTCACCACATTGACCAGGCTGGTTTCGATCTCGTGACCTCGTGATCAGCTTGCCTTGGCCTCCCAAAGTGCTGGGATTACAGGCATGAGCCACCGTGTCCAGCTGGAAAAATTAAATTTTTTTTAATAGATATTTTCAGATTTTTCTGTTATGTCAGTTTTGGTAATTTGTGTCTTTTAAGAAAATTTTATTTCATCTGAGTTGTTGAATTTACTGGCATAAAATTGTTCAGAATATTCCTTTCATATCCTTTTAAAGTATGTAAAATCTGTGTTGCAGTCTCTTTGTATTGGTAATTTGTGTTTTTGCTGTTTTTTCCTGGATCAGTCAGTCTAGCTGGAGGTTTACCAGCTTGTTTATCTTTAAAAGAACATTTATTTTAGGTTATTAATGATCCTTTAGTACAGAGATATTCAATCTTTTGGCTTCCCTGGGCCACAGTGGAAGAAGAATTGTCATGGGCCACACATAAAATACACTAATGATAAGCTGATGAGTTAAAAAAAAAAAATCTCATGTTTTAAGAAAATTTATGGATTTGTGTTGGTTTGCATTCAGAACTGTCCTGGGCCAAATGCAGTCCTCATGTTGGGCAAGCCTGTTTCAGTATTTTTTATTTTCTGGTTTTTTTTAAATTTTTTATTTCATTTATTTTCAGTCTTTATTTTTTCCTTCCTTTAACTTATTTTCAGTTTACTTTGCTCTTGTTTTATAGCTTCTTAAGAAGGGAGTTAGAACTTTTTGTTGCACTTTAGTTTTAGCTGTAGTTAACACATTGTGTTTTCATTTTCATTCCATTCAAAATATTATCTAGTTTCTCTTATGGTTTTTCTTTTCTTGGACTTATGAGTTATTTAAAAGTGTACTGTTTAATTTCTACTGCATAGGGACATGTATTGTAGATATGTTATTGTTGCTGATTTCTAATTCATTTATAGTATGGTTAGAGAACATACTTTCTTGGTGAATTTCCATGTACACACTTGAAGAGAATGTGTCTTCTGCAGATGTTGATTCAGTATTCTTTTTTTTCTGGAGATGGATTCTCGCTCTGTTGCCCACCAGGCTGGAGTGCAGTGGCACAATCTCAGCACATTGCGACTTCCGCCTCCCAGGTTCAAATGATTCTCCTGCCTCAGCCTCCCAAGTAGCAGGGATTACAAGCACCCATCACCACGACCAGCTAATTTTGTTTTGTTTTGTTTTTCCATTTTTAGTAGAGACAGGGATTCATCATGTTGACCAGCCTGATCTCAAGCCCCTGACCTCAGGTGACCCATCCACCTCGGCCTCCCAAAGTGCTAGGATTACAGACATGAGCCACCTCGCCCAGCCCGTTCGGTCTTTGGATGTCAGTTAGATCAGCTGGTGGAGCTCCTGACTATGCAAATCTTCTGTGTCCTTACTGATTTTTAACTAATCCTACAACGTTTTGAGAGTTATGTTAAAATCTGCAGCTGTAATTCTACAGCTGTCTACTTGAGCAGTTTTTATCTTTATTTCTGGTAAATGTCTAGTTAAATTATTTGACCATCCGTATGCTCCTGTCAAGCGTGGCCTTTGTTTGTTTGTGCTTATTTATTAGGGTTTTCCATGTAGACTTAGACTGTGACTCTTACTATAGGAAAGGTTCATCCTCATGGGCCTCAACCACAGGTGCTAGGTATACTTGGTGAGTTTTCTCCACTCTGCTGTGTCCCAAAATTGTGTGATCTCTGGGCATCTCCAGTCAGCCCTCTGCAGTACCAGCCACTCTGCAGAGGCTGTGTGGAGTCTGCCTGCTGGGTGCACTCTCCCAGGCCACAGATCTGCAGAGAACTTCTGCATACTCTTTTGAGTCCTTACCTCTATGTAGTTCCCTCTGTAAACTCCTCTAACATTTTAGCACTGCAAGACTCTCAGCTCAGTGAAATTGCCTGGTTCTTGGAGGTCTCTACCTCTCTCCAAGTGGTCAAGAAACTCCCATTGGGCAGAAAACCGAAGTGCAGCTGAGATTTGCCTCCTGTGTTTTCCTGGTCTCAAAGATCTCAGTCCTGTTCTGCCTGTGTTCCAATCCCTGAAAACAGTTTTTTCAGATATTCTATCCAGTTTTCTCATTGGTCATGGTGGAAGGGCAAGTCTAGGACCTCCCCATTTCATCTTGGGTGGAAGAGGAAATCCTTCTGTGTCTTTTTCTCTTTGTCCTTCCACCTTCTTTTGCATTGTGGATTTTCCAAACTTGCCATATAAGTAAGCATGTGCCTTTTTTTTTTTTTTTTTGAGACGGAGTTTCACTCTTGTTACCCAGGCTGGAGTGCAATGGCACAATCTCGGCTCACTGCAACCTCTGCCTCCTGGGTTCAAGCAATTCTCCTGCCTCAGCCCCCTGAGTAGCTGGGACTACAGGCACGTGCCACCATGCCCAGCTGATTTTTAGAATTTTTAGTAGAGACGGGGTTTCACCATGTTGACTAGGATGGTCTTGATCTGTTGACCTCGTGATCCACCCACCTCGGCCTCCCAAAGTGCTGGGATTACAGGCTTGAGCCACCGCACCCAGCCGCATGTGCCTATTTTTAAAAGGAAAGAAAAGAAACCTTTTGGGCCGGGTGCAGCACGCCTGTATTCCCAGTACTTTGGAAGGCCAAGGAGGGCGGATCACCTGAGGTCAGGAGTTCGAGAACAGCCTAACCAACATGGCAAAACCCCATCTCTCTACTAAAATGCATAAATTAGCCAGATGCAGTGGAAGGCACCCATAATTTCAACCTCTCGGGAGGCGGAGGCAGGAGAATGAGTTGAACTCGGGAGGTGGCGGTTGCAATGAGCCAAGATTGCACCATTGCACTACAGCCTGGGCGACAGAGTGAGACTCCATATCAAGAAAAAAAAAACCTTTTAATTTTTTAAAGCTGTTCTGTTGGTTCCTCACAAGGATCTGAAGGGATTGGTAAGTAAGATGAAGGAAATTCTCTTTCACGTGGAAAATACCAAATGTGACATTAATTAAAAAAAGAGCATCTCTGTAAGGAAAGAGTTTCCCTGAGCTCTGCTAGATTCAGAAGCAATTGAACTTAAAATATCGAAGTTTGCAAAACACATATTTTATTTACCCAGGAACTAAAGCTAAGTAAGCTCTGGGTTAATAGAAGGTCTGTGAAGGGTACTTAGACTACAATAAGACTGGGGAGGAAAATTCCACTTCCAAATCTAAGATACATCATCCCTTTGTGCCAAGCACATAACAAACAGAAGATTAAAGGGGGCCCTTAGCTCAGAAGCACTAGGTCAATCAGAAGGTGAGGTGAGCTGTCACAGAGGCTTCATGCTAGAAGTAGGATGCCATGGTACTACCTTACCAGCTGTGACACTGGTACATCCAGCCATTTGGCTTTTTTGAGGGGGAAGAGGGAAGGGAGAGGGTCTCGCTTTGTTGCTCGGGCTGGAGTGCAGTGGTGTGATCATGGGTCAGTGCAGCCTTGACCTCCCAGGCTCAAGCAGTCCTCTCACCTCAGACTCCCAAGTAGCTGGGACCACAGGCTTGTACCACCATACCCAGCTAATTTCTTTATTTTTTATAGAGATGGGTGTCTCTCTTTGTTGCCTAGGCTGGTCTTGAACTGCCTGGCTTAAGTGGTCCTCCTGCCTCAGCCTCTCACTCAATGTGCTGGGATTACAGGCATGCCAGACATACGGAAACATAAATCTGGTTCCTACCCCCACAGAGTTTATGTTCTAAATGATTAAGTAAAAATGTATAATATGTGAAAAGCTTTGTTAACGCATTTTGAGACAACACAGCAGGAATATTTGACCATCTGCCTAAGGTTTAAAAGGAAATAACTTTAAGCATGTGTCTAAATAGCAAGTAATGTTTTAGACTGCATTCTCAGATTCCGCTTAGGCATCTGCAGCATATAGACAACTTGAGCAATAACCTGACTTTAGACACAGACAACTTCCGTCCCCACTGTTTTTAGTATCCACTGCTTTTTCACAGCTAAAACCCCCCACAGTGGCACTGGTAAATGTTAGTTACTTTAGTAATTAAACATGCAAGTATACTTCCAAGGGTTGAATGTAAGCCACTTGCAGATGATAGGCAGAATAGCTCACGTGTGATTCGTGATTATACCATGTTTAGCTTTCTTATTCTTTGAAATCTCATTGAGAAGAAATACTGGCCTCTGCTTAAAGTAATTTCTTTTTCAGTTCACAATTTTATAAGTAATGTTGTTATATCATTTCCCTCCTTTGACAGAGTGTGAAAATTTTGAGATGCTTGTCTGCCAGAAATTTCTTCTTCATTTGCAAAACATTAATGAGATATTATATTTAAATGTTTTAATTTAATATTAAAAGTACTTGGTCAACCTGGCATGGAACATACAAAATACAAATAATTTAAAACCATTAAGTATTGCATTTGTAAGAAAGACTTGCTAATCGTAACTGCTCATAATGATTCTGAATAAAGCATTTTTTTTTTTACTTAAAGCAATTGTAGCTATAAGACAACTCAAATAATCATCTAACTTGCTCATTAGTTTTATTGCTAATAGTCTTTAGCTGAAATTTTAATTTTGATTAATTTTCTTTCCATTGGTTTTGTGGGGGGTGGTAAAATATACAGAATATAAAATTTGCCAGTTTTCCTATTTTTAAGTGTACACCTCAGTGGCATTTAAACACATGCACCATTTTGCCTTCCCACCAGCATTGCATAGGGTTTCAGTTTCTCCACATCCTGCCCAACATTTTTTTTGCAGCTTTTCTAATGGGTGTGAACTGGTATTGTATTATGATTTTGATTTACATTTCCCTAGTGTCTATAGTGATTTTGAGCATCTTTTCAAGTGCTTATTGGCCAATAGTGTATCATCTTTGGAGCAATATCTGTGTACTTCCTTTGCCCAGTTTTGAATTGTGGTATTTGTCTTTTTGAAGTTTTCTATATATTCTGGATATTAATTCCTTATAGTGGATGTAGTTTACAAATATTTTCTCCATTCTCCGGATTGCCTTTTACTCTGTTGACAGTGGTTCTTGATGCACAAAAGTTTTTAATTCTGATGAAGTCCAGTTTGTTTATGTTTTCTTCTGTTGCCTGTGCCTTTGGTATTCTATACAAGAAATCATTGCCAAATTCATTGTCATGAAGCTGTTTTCTTCTAAGAGTTTTCTAACTTTAGCTCTTACCTTTAGGTCTTTGGTTTATTTCAAGTTACTTTTTGTATTTGGTGTTAGGTAAGGGTCCAACTTCATTTTAGCTAAAACTTTATGTATTTTAAAATTTATTATGAAAAGTATAAACTGTTTAGTTGAATGGAAAATTTTGTGCCTTGGAATTAACTCAGTTTTTAAAACCTTTTTGTTATGTAAATATCCAAACTAATACATACATAGAAGAATATAATGAGTCTCCCATGTACCCATGCCCCCCAGCATTAATTATCAATATTTTGCCAGTCTCATTTCATTTATATATATCCACACACACACCTTTTTTTCCTAGAAAGTTTTAAGTTAAATCATAGGTATTATCTCATTTTACCTGTAAGTATATAAATATAAAGTTGTTAACATGTACATTTACGTCAACATTCTCTCATCATCTGTTTTGTTCTACCATGCCATTATCAGACCTTGCAAAGTTAAGAATTCTGTAATATCCAGTTAACAATTGACTCATTTTTACCTAAGTACAATTTAGGAGGAGATTTGAGGATCTTTTTTTAACATTAAGATATAAACTTTTATAACAACTGCTTAAATAATTGTTGCCTAGAGTCCAACATTTTTATTGGTGAATTAAAAATGAAGTTTACGTAGACATAGATTCTGCTCATTTTGCTTTCAATCTAAAATCATAGTTAAGATTACTATCCTGGAAAGTCTTCCTGTAGGGAATTTCTAAGAAACAGATTGTAATAGGCATTGCCTCTGGAAGTAGGCATGAATAGATGGCTGGGGTCCATAATGAGAGAGACCATTCTTCATGTATCACTTTGTACCTTCACATATTGCCTTTTTGTTTGGTTTTGTTTTTTGGTTTTTTGTTTGTTTTGTTTTTGTTTTTGTTTTTTTTTTTTTTGAGACAGGACCTTGCTCTGTCACTCAGGCTAGAGTGCAGTGGCATGATCATAGCCCACTATAACGACCTCCTGAACTCAAGTGACCCTATTACCCCAGCTACCCGAGTAGAGTAACTGGGGTTAGAGCATGCACCACATGCCTGGCTGTGTGTTGCTATTTTGTATTTTAAAAAGAACTGAATCCTGACTCTGCTGGTAGTCACATGAATCTGCACATACATGCAAGCAAGTGCATGTAAAACTGGTGAAATCTGAGTAAGGTTCATGGATTTTATCAATGTCAATTTCCTAATTCTAACAGTATATGATAGTTATGCAAGATGTCATCATTGAGAAAAAGTAAAGGATATGTGAGATTTTCGTATTATTTCTTATATCTGCAAAATAAAAAGTTTTTAAGACTAAGTTATTAAAAAAAGAACTCTTAGGCCGGGCGCGGTGGCTCAAACCTGTAATCCCAGCACTTTGGGAGGCCGAGGCGGGTGGATCACAAGGTCAAGAGATTGAGACCATCCTGGTCAACAATGTGAAACCCCGTCTCTACTAAAAATACAAAAAACTAGCTGGGCGTGGTGGCGCCTGCCTGTAATCCCAGCTACTTAGGAGGCTGAGTCAGGAGAATTGCCTGAACCCAGGAGGCAGAGGTTGCGGTGAGCCGAGATCGCGCCATTGCACTCCAGCCTGGGTAACAAGAGGAAAACTCCGTCTCAAAAAAAAAAAAAAAAAAAAAAAAAAAAAAAAAGGACTCTTTCAAAACTAAAATGTAAAGTTAAAATATTGATTTTTATTTTTTAGGAATCTGGTGGACAGTAACAAACTTTGGTGAAATTTCAGGAACCATAGCCATTGAAATGGATAAGGGAACCTATATACATGCACTCGACAATGGTCTTTTTACACTGGGAGCTCCACACAAAGAAGGTTTGTGTCTGGAAGGGTAGAGGCTGCCACAAGTGTAGATTTTGTGACATTCACTTAGGCCAAACTCTTAACTAGTCTCAAACATTTTCTGAAGGAATGGAGCCATTGCATTTGACTCATCCATTTTTTTGTCCTTCCTTGATATTTACAGCCACTGGCAAGTCCCTCTTGCTAATATAAGCCTTTGAAAACATTCTGTATAGTTCCAGAGGAGTCTCTTTGGAAGTCAAAACAACATGAAAAATTAAAATAGTAAGTGGAAGGAAAAAGAAAATCTGCTTGAGTCAAAATGTTTGAATTTCTTTTTTATTCAGACCTGTTGCCACAACTAACCTGTGTGTATTTAACAATTTGAAGTTGTCTCATTTTTTTAGCCCATTAGAGAAAGCACTAATGAGATACGAAGTAATTAGAAGATAAAAAGTGGTATCAATTGGTCATCATGGCTACCCCTTGAATAAATGAAAACATTTAGCTTTTTAAGTAAGTGCTTATTTATGACTGTATTTTAAAACATAGAGAAGATACCTTGGAAATTACTAAATACACATTAGGTCAGCCTGTCTGCTTATATATTCAGTATGTAAAAGTTAGCACTGGCCGGGCGCAGTGGCTCACGCCTGTAATCCTAGCACTTTGGGAGGCCGAGATGGGTGGATTACCTGAGGTCAGGAGTTCAAGACCAGACTGGCCAATATGATGAAACCCCATCTTTAAAAAAAAAAAAAAAGTTAGCACTATAGTCGAAATAAGTTAAATAGATCTTAATTCCAAGGATACAGTATTACAGTGACATCAGAATATCTGAATATTATTATATTTAATTGCAGAAGAAAACTACGTTTTTTAAAAACAAAATAATGTCTTTATATCTATATTTATAGCAAATGTCAAATTTATTCTCAAACGTTTTTTTCTCCAATAGTCGATGAGGGCCCTAGTCCTCCAGAGCAGTTTACGGCTGTGAAGTTGTCTGATTCCAGGTGAGCTTATGTTGTACTATAATTAGTAACCAGTTATTTTTAAAATTTAATTTTATTTATTAAAAATATTATATCTTACTTAAGCCCACAGAGTAATTTTGATATAAAAAACAAAATAAGTTTTTTGAAAAGTAGATTTTGTGATCACTTTTCATAGATTTCCTATCAATATGTAATGGTAGGCTGGGAAAAAAGTATGTAAGTTAAAAAATGAAGATTAATAATTTCACAGACCAAATAGATTGAAAAAGAAATCAAACAGTACAAAACCTGGTTCACTGTTGCTATGATATTTAAACTCACTGCTCGGAAGTCCAGAGACAAACAGGGATGTTGTTGAAACCAGCAGAAAATGTTACAGAATCATAACAACCAAAAGAATATTTTTACGCACTATTTTTACAGTCATTTTATAAGGTAACCTTTTTTATTCTCACATTGTGCAGAAGTATAGAATGATTCTTTGGGTAGAAGATACTGAAAGTGAGTTTATGGTATTTTAGTAATTGGTTACATCAGTATGATACTGATTTCTGTTATATTATCATTAACATATAAAGGAGTGGAATTCTGGCATCCCAGGAGATTCTTGGTAAGGTAAAAAATTAGAAATTATAATTTTAAAAAATCACGTTAAGATGAGTATTTCTATACTTCCTTTGAAAGTCTGATATATGGTAAAAGACAAAGAATCAAAGCAGAGGAAGAAAAAATTCAATAGAACTGACAAATGGGGGAATTTTTGCAACAACCTTAATAGGCAGTGAGTTCTTACTCTTCATAAGTATGTACAAAATTCATAGCACCTCATCAGACCCCAGTAGAAAACTCGCAAACAATAAGACCTCAATAGAAAAATGCATGTGGGACATAACCAGATAATCTAAAAACTAAAAAGGAAAGAAAAGTAAAAACAATTGTTAGTCTAGTTTATTACTAAAATGCAAATTAATAGGATACTGGTTTTTCCATTTCAGGTTTTTAAGTTTTTTAAAAAGTCATATTGTTTAGCCGGGTGCGGTGGATCACGAGGTCAAGAGATCGATACCATCCCGGTCAACATGGTGAAACCCCGTCTCTACTAAAAATACAAAAAATTAGCTGGGCATGGTGGCGCGTGCCTATATTCCCAGCTACTCAGGAGGCTGAGGCAGGAGAATTGCCTGAACCCAGGAGGCGGAGGTTGCGGTGAGCTGAGATCATGCCATTGCACTCCAGCCTGGGTAACAAGAGTAAAACTCTGTCTCAAAAAAAAAAAAAGTCATACTGTTTAAACAAATTCATGATACAAAACATACTCTCTTAATTTGAAGTAAGAGTGTAAATTGAAACAGCATTTTCTGGAAAACAGTTTGATGATATAACTTTATACCCTTTGATCCAGTTATTTCCTTTTTAGGAATTTTTTCTAAGGATAAATCAGCAGTTTTATGTACAGAATAGATGTAAATAGAACTATTTAAAAACAGAAAAAGTACATTTTAATAATTTATTATTAAACATTTCTAACCATTAAAAGAGGTGTAATTGAAGAATGATGAATTGGGAAAATGTTTGCTATGCAATATGTAAGGTAAAATGTTTATATTAAATAAGCAAAACAAAACTGTAAATATATAACTGCACTGTCCAATATGGCAGCAACTAGTCAGATGTAGCTTTTATATTTTTATTTTTTTTAAGAGATAATCTCACTCTGTCACCCACGTGGGAGTATAGTAGTGTTATAGTAGCTCACCATAACCTCCAACCTCTGGGCTCAAGGGATCCTCCTTCGTCAGCCTCCCGAGTAGCTGGTATTATGTGCACACCACCCATGCCCAGCTAATTTTTTTAATTTTCTGTAGAGATGGGGTCTTACTATGTTGTCCAGGCTGATCTTGAACCTCTTGTTTCAGGCAGTTTTCCCATTGGCCTCACAAAGCACTGAGCTTATAGGAGTGAGTCACCACTTAGCCACATGCAGTTTTTGAATACTTAGAATATGTCCAGTCTGAAACTTTAGATGTGTACACACTCCCACACATACACGTGTCCTGTTTTGATGTTCTCTAATTAATTTTCTTTGTCAGTTTTTAACTTTTATCTATCTTATTAATGTACAGAATTGCCCTGAAGTCTGGCTATGGGAAATATCTTGGTATAAATTCAGATGGGCTTGTAGTTGGGCGTTCAGATGCAATTGGACCAAGAGAACAATGGGAACCAGTCTTTCAAAATGTAAGTGCTGTTACTGTTTATAAGAAATTCCTGTCAGTTTAACAGAAAGTCCGTGACTGTCAATGGTAATATATTTAACAAGAAAAAGTAGGATGCAATAGTGCAATGCATTAAATTGGAAAAAATCAGTAAGAACATATAACCTTAAAGAGAAATCAAAAAATAGTGCAACAAAAATAGCATTAGTACACTTGCCCATGATTATTTCTGTATACCTTAATTTCCTAGATGTGGATCTCATTTCCATTAAAGAACCAGTCAATTTTAGGTCTCAGGGTAGGAAACCAGAATAGTTCCTAAGTATCTTCTTCGTAGCAGAAATCGTGGATGCTTTCAGAAACATTAGAGACTGTATGCGAGCAATGGAGCAAGCTACAACCAAGTTGTGACAATTTGTATGTAAAATAAATAATAATAGCTCATTGAAGTAAATTATCTCTAAAAGACTTCCAGTTCATAAGCTTAAAATAGTGTACGACAAAATAGTTTTACTATAAAAGAAGAAAAAATATATTAATTCTTAATTGTAGTAAGTAGGCAGCTGTAGGATATGGATGTTTTGTCAAATCTTTGTTGATGGCCAGGTGCAGTGGTTCACACCTGTATTCCTACACTTTGGGAGGCCAAGGTGGGTGGATCACGTGAGGTTGGGAGTTCGAGACCAGCCTGACCAATATGAGAAACCACGTCTCTACTAAAAACACAAAATTAGCCAGGTGTGGTGGCACATGCCTGTAATCCCAGCTACTTGGGAGGCTGAGGCAGGCGAATGACTTGAATCCGGGAGCCAGGAGATTGCAGTGAGCGGAAATTGCACCATTGCAGTCCAGCCTGGGAAAGAAGCGAAACTCCATCTCAAAAAAAGATAAAAATCCTTGTTAATACAGAATGTATAATTTGCTTTTTCTGTTTGTGTAAGAAGTAAAGATTGAACAAAAATATGTGAGTGCTAAATAGTCTTTAAAAAGTAGATAACTGTATCAAAAACAGTAAGGACCAGTGGGCACCACGAAATAGCCAAATAGAAGATAAGCTCAGCCTTGAGTAGCAGCTTTGGTAGTCTACAATAATGAATTGAAAATAGGAACTCATGAGTGTCTTCCAAGATGACAGATTGAACAAACATCCCCCCCAAAAGAGGTACTCATTTAGACTCATTTCCTCATCCCCTAGTGTAAAATCTTAAGTCAGTGACTTTGAAACTATTTTGACCCCAACCCATTGAGAAATGCATTTTTACATTGCAGCCCAGCACACAATTAACAATTCTTACTTATCCATGTGTTATGCACCTTGATATTTCTTGTTCTCTTTTATGCCTTCCTCCTTGTGTATTTTTTTTTCCCAGTACCTTTCAGGAACCACTGAGTTGATTTCATGACCCACTAATGTGTTGCAACCCCTTTGAGATGATCCTACTAGTTATGATGAGATACGTCTAATAAAAATATGCCAGTAGAAAAGGCCAGTATATCCTAAAGCCAGGATGATGAGTTAGATAGTACTAATAATACAACACTTTAGGAAAGTTCATTTCATTTTAATTTTAGGAAGGACGCTAAGTTTCGAAAATTTAAATTTAAGTGAAAGAGGCACTTAAAACTCTAATGCAAAAAGGGACTCAGCCGAATAATCTGCAGCACAGGTTTAAGTCGCCTTGGGCGATACAGCCATGCTCCAGGGCTCATCAGGAGCCATCCAGATGAGAGAGGACCAGCCCTTGCCACCTTGACTAAGAAATTAAATTCACATTATCAGCACTTTTTTTACTGGATGTGATATAAGGTTAATGTGTTCTGTAATTGTATTTGTAAATATTTTCTCTGAATGTTATGGTATTTTAAGTTTTCCAAAAGAATCAACCAAATACAAGTTATAATTAAACATTATATTTGTTAAGGGAATTAAGTTAACCAAATTTATAACCCAGCTTTAGATACACCAGAAAATTAGGTGGTTTTTTTGAGACGGAGTTTCGCTCTTGTTACTCAGGCTGTAGTGCAATGGCGCGATCTCGACTCACCGCAACCTCCACCTCCTGGGTTCAGGCAATTCTCCTGCCTCAGCATCCTGAGTAGCTGGGATTACAGGCACGTGCCACCATGCCCAGCTAATTTTTTGTATTTTTAGTAGAGACGGGATTTCACCATGTTGACCAAGATGGTCTCGATCTCTTGACCTCGTGATCCACCCGCCTCAGCCTCCCAAAGTGCTGGGATTACAGGCTTGAGCCACCGCGCACGGCCTGAAAATTAGTTTTTAAAGCTTTAATAGAAAGCAGTGTAATACATCCAACATTAAACAACTAAAAAATATACGAATATTTATTTTCACACGCAGAAGTCCCTCAGACATTGATTCTTAAATTTAAAGACACCAACGGCATTCTATATATCTTTTCATGTTTTCTAATTATGAGGAACGTAAATTTTCCTTAAAATGCTAATATTTTAATAAAGTATTATGCAGTAGTAATTATGTTCTTGTCTTTAATTTTTCAAACCGAACTAAATCAGTTACAGTTTCAGTACATTTTTTAGAAAGGAGGCGATCCTACTTCACCTAATTAGAATTTAGTCCTACTAAAAAGATACACTAAAAATGTTTATTGTGGTAAACTTTGAATTTTAAAATGATAGGTGATTTTGGTTTCCTTTTCTATATGTTCTTATATTTTGTTCAGGTTTTCTCTTAAGTTCTTTTCCTTGACTTTTAAATCAGGAAGGAAAAATTAATTCAGTATAAACGTTTCTTCCGCAAGTATTCTCATGGCTCTATTTTTCGTTTCACCTAGGGGAAAATGGCTTTATTGGCCTCAAATAGCTGCTTTATTAGATGTAATGAAGCAGGGGACATAGAAGCAAAAAGTAAAACAGCTGGAGAAGAAGAAATGATAAAGGTAATCATGACATTTTTATACAGATGACTGCATTTCACACATGTGATCTGACTGTATCTCTAAAATATTAAATCATCAATTACTGTCACTTTAAAGATTTAATTACATTTTTTTATAATGTGTTTCAAATAGACTCATTTTTAATTATAAATCCAGCGATTGGTAGCTTGTTTGTATAATGTGATAGAGAAATTACTGCATCTATGAGCTACCTTGCCATTATCTCCATGTGTTAGTATCTTTTTCTGAGTACATGCTCTTTTTAGTCTTGCATTTTCTAGTTTTCTTGCTTGTATTCTAAAATCTAATTTTTGAAATAGATACTATGTACACATGGTTCAATATTTTAAAATAAAAGCATATAAAGACATATGCCTGCCATGCATCTTACTCAATCGGTGTCCCAGCTCCTGTTCTTATCTCTTTCCCTTTGTTTTTTTACAGCCTCCTAAAATTTTTTATAAACATGAATATGTTCATAATTTTCAACTGTTTTACACCAAAGGTAGCCTCCTCTATAGTCTTCTAAACTTTGATTTTTTTTTTTTTCCTTAAAATTGTATCTTGGAGAGTTTCCTCTTACTTTGAATGTAAGAAGTTTTCTCTTTTTCTGTCTCTTATTAATAGCCACATAATATTCCATTTTAGGAATGTACCTCAATTTATTTAAGTAGTCTCTTATAGATGGAAATTTAGGCTGTTTCCAGTCTTTTGCTCTTATAAACAGTGCTACAGTACATACATAACATTGAATATGCATTAATTTGTAGAGTGGGGGTAGGCCTAAAGAGAAATTTCCAGAAGCAGAATTGTCAGGTCAAGGGTATATGCATTTGTGTTTATGTTATGCTTGAGCTTCCATGATGATAATCACTCTCTGGAAGATAAAAAAAATCGTAGCAGAACTTTTGGGGCTTTAGCCCTCAAATGTTTTTATATTTTTATTAATAGTACGACTTTTCTTTGCATTAGGAGGAACACGGATCACATAAAATATGATATTTATTTATTTTTTTGGTCATTTTATTTTTATTGTCTTCTTTTTTTTTTAATTGTATTTTAGGTTTTGGCGTACATGTGAAGAACATGCTAGATTGTTGCATAGGTACACACATGGCAATGTGATTTGCTGCCTTCCTCCCCATCAGCTATATCCAGTGTTTCTCCCCATACTATCTCTCCTCAACTCCCCACCCCGCGCTGTCCCTCCACTATTTCCCCCTGACAGACCCTAGTGTATGATGTTCCCCTCTCTGTGTCCATGTGTTCTCATCGTACAACACCCACCTATGAGTGAGAACACATGGTGTTTGATTTTCCGTTCTCGTGTCAGTTTGCTGAGAATGATGGTTTCCAGGTTCATCCATGTCCCTACAAAAGACACGAACTCATCACTTTTGATGGCTGCATAGTACTCCATGGTGTGCATGTGCCAAATTTTCCCTGTCCAGTCTATCATCGATGGGCATTTGGGTTGGTTCCAAGTCTTTGCTGTAAACAGTGCCGCAATGAACATTCATGTGCATGTGTCCTTATATTAGAATGATTTATAATGCTTTGGTTATATACCCAGTAATAGGATTACTGGGTCAAATGGAATTTCTATTTCTAGGTCCTTGAGGAATCGCCACACTGTCTTCCACAGTGGTTGAACTAATTTATACTCCCAACAACAGTGTAAAAGTGTTTCTATTTTTCCACATCCTCTCCAGCATCAGTTGTCTCCAGATTTTTTAATGATCGCCATTCTAACTGGCATGAGATGGTATCTCAGTGTAGTTTTGATTTGCATTTCTCTAATGACCAGTGATAATGAGCATTTTTTCATGTTTGTTTGCTTCATATATGTCTTCTTTTGTAAAGTGTCTATTCATATCCTTTGCCCACTTTTGAATGCGCTTGTTTGTTTTTTTCTTGTAAATCTGTTTTAGTTCTTTGTAAATTCTGGATATCAGCCCTTTGTCAGATGGGTAGACTGCAAAAATTTTTTCACATTCTGTTGGTTGCCGATTCACTCTAATGTCTGTTTCTTTTGCCGTGCAGAAGCTGTGGAGTTTGATTAGGTCCCATTTGTCTATTTTGGCTTTTGTTGCCAATGCTTTTGGTATTTTGATCATGAAGTCCTTGCCTATACCTGTGTCCTGAATGGTTTTGCCTAGATTTTCTTCTAGGGTTTTTATGTTTTAGGTCTTATGTTTAAGTCTTTAATCCATCTGGAGTTAATTTTAGTGTAAGATGACAGGAAGTGGTCCAGTTTCTGGTTTCTGCACATGGCTAATCAGTTTTCCCAACACCATTTATTAAACAGGGAATCCTTTCCCCATTGCTTGTTTTTGTCAGGATTGTTAAAGATCAGATGGTTGTAGATGTGTGGTGTTGCCTCCAAAGCCTCTGTTCTGTTCCATTGGTCTATATCCCTGTTTTGGTCCCAGTACCATGTTGTTTTGATTACTGTAGCCTTGTAGTATAGTTTGAAGTCTGATAGTGTGATGCCTCCAGCTTTGTTCTTTTTGCTTAGGATTGTCTTGGCTATGTGGGTTCTCTTTTGGTTCCATATGAAGTTTAAGGTGGTCTTTTCCAGTTCTGTGAAGAAGGTCATTGGTATCTTGATGGGGATAGCCTTGAATCTGTAAATTACTTTGGGCAGTATGTCCATTTTCACGATATTGATTCTTCCTTACCATAAGCATGGACTGTTTCTCCATCTGTTTGTGTTCTCTCTTATTTTGTTGAGCAGTGGTTTGTAGTTATCCTTGAAGAGGTCCGTTCCTTGTTAGCTGTATTCCTAAGTATTTTATTCTCTTTGTAGCAGTTGTGGATGGCAGTTAGTTTTTGATTTGGCTCTCTCACCACTCCTATTTGATTTTTATTTTTACTTTATTTTAAAAATGTTTGTGTGACACCAAGCTGGAAACAAAAGCTCCTTATTCCAGGCTAAATTTCCTAATCTTACACTTTGTTTTACATCATTGTAAAAGTTACTTAGACATCTGCATATTAAGATGAAATTTTAAATAAGTGTTAATATAACTAGATAAGTCAGGTAGTTAACTGGAATTTGATGAAGACATTTAAGCTTAATATTTTAGACTCTCAAAAGCCACTGATCATTAATGATAAACATATACCAAGGTATATCTAAAGAATAACTCCCACCTTCTTGACACATGGCTTTTCTGTTTTAGCATTTTATCCCAGTAGTGAGCATCCTGAACCATGCTTTGTTTGGCTCCATTGGGAAACAGAGGTTGTATCCAGTCTGACCCAGATTTGCTGTGTAAGGCATTGTGGGGGCCAGGGTTGAAGGCTCTAAGAGATGGGGGAAATGCCTTTTCTAAAATGCCCTTCATTCCTATAATTACAGCGTAAACATTTATATTACATTTTTCTCTATTACCAGTGTAATTTAAAAGCATCTATCAAATGCCTGTACGTGCTTCCTGTGTTTGATTTTCTTTTTAAAATATTTTTGATTTCAAATAATTTCAAATCTAAAGGTCAATTTTATTCTGTAATTTAGATACTTTCTTACAGCTAGAGACGTGAAATGTTAATTTTTTCATTGCATGCATCTGGCACATGTCTTGTTGTCTTGAACCTCCTAATGCTCCTATGAGGTGGATATGAGCTCAGTATAACAGACAGAAAGACAGCCTCTGACCCTTCTTACATCCTCATGGTTTTTGTCAGTGAGTTCCTGGAAATCACAAAGCTAGGTGGGTAAAGACAGGATGTGTACCCAGGCCCAGCTGACTCCAGAAGCAACTCTTAACATTTCCTAGCACATTGCTTCTCAGGAAACAGGTCATTGGGAAAATGCAGATGAGTGTGTGACTTACATTTAATTTTATTTATTTATATTTTATTGTATCATGTTTAACTTATTTTTCATCTGGTTATTCTCACAAAAGTGTTATTGAAGGCAACAGCTGTAAATATATGTGCAGTGCTTTGCACTTATACAAAGATGCTCTATTGTGTTTTTCACTTTTTAAGCAGTTTTTAGATGAAATACAAAGTTTGCTCAATCTCTTTGGTTAATCAAGTACCTGGAAGCTCTGAACAGATTATTTAGAACTCTTTTCCTTACTTGCAGGCTCTCTTAATCTCCGTCAGCCATTCGCCTTTATGATCTTGCCTTATCTACCAGAACACAGATCCCTATTACTAAAAGTAGCATTGTGTTACAGGCCATAGCAGGGAATGTTATCAGGTCTTCTAGGACCCCTCTAATCAAAACTGTCACAAAGATGTCATTGGTACAAACACGTTATTTGTCATGACTTTCTAAGCAGTCCTGGAATTAGACTCTGACCACAGAGATCCCTTAGGAGACATGGGTCCTTACCATTGCCAATTGCCTGTTCTGTGGGTGATCCTAATTGTTGAATGCATATCAACTAACTTATGACATATAATTGGATAGATAGTAAATATCCAAACTTAGGAGGATATAAGAGGTTTGTAAAAGAGGTGGGTTCTAATTAAGTAAAAATAAGTTGTGTAATGTTAAAAGTTTGAATATATTTGTTAATAGTCTATGCAAAGTAAAATAGCTATCTTAAGTTTTCAATCTGATAAAATGAACACTTGTCTGCTAGGGATAATTTCATAAGGACAAAATTAGTTAAATGCTTGTTTTATTGCTCAGCAGGATCTGATCTGCAAAATGTTTTTTAAATAATTTTATCTTTAGTGTTTCTGACACAAGGGCTGCAGAGGAAGCATATGATAGCGGCTTGCTTAAGATTATGTATATGAAGTAAAAACACATAGCTAGAACCTGTCCTTGTCTGAATATAATTGCTCGGTTAATTTTTTCTCTTGCATAAGAAGTCACCTTGAATGTTCTTACGTAATACGTAAAGTGGGGAAGGTGGTAGATAAACATAACCCATTGGATTCTCTTTTCCAATATCTAGATTAGATCCTGTGCTGAAAGAGAAACCAAGAAAAAAGATGACATTCCAGAAGAAGACAAAGGAAATGTAAAACAATGTGAAATCAATTATGTGTACGTATTCTTTTTCTTTTAGACCCACAAATTTGACAGTGAAGTGCTTTTCAATGTGCTTTCAAAATAAATAATCTAATTAGGTGGGGATGGTGGTGCATACCTGTAGGCCCAGCTACTTGGGAGGCTGAGACAGGAGGATTGTTTAAGCCCAGGAGTTCAAGGCTGAAGTGAGCTCTGATCACCACTGCATTCCAGCCTGGGTGACAAAGCAAGACCTGTCTGAAAAAATTAAAACTGGGGGACAAGAAGAGGCAGCATAGTGTAGCCTCTAGGACAGAGCGCTAAGCTAAACACTTTTCTCAAGGCTTCAGTTTTCCTGATCATCCTACCATCTCTCAAAGCTAAAGTCACTTGGGTTAGTCAGTCATAGAATGGCTGTGATGCCAGTCAAAGACTGTGCTATGGCCAGGACACAGGGGACTCCAGCCAGCAATGCCCTAATAGCAGTGGGGCCTTGTGGTGCTACCCAGTCAATGTGGTCCTCCTCTTGAACGGTTATGATGGTCATCTTTGTCATTGAAAAGCTACAGCTTATTAAAAACCTACAATTAGACTTTTTTACTAAGTGAAAAAGAAATTGACAGTGTTTATAAATGTAATAGTAAATATGTATAATCAGAATTTGAAGTATTTTCCAATGAACACACCTTTACAGGAAGAAATTTCAAAGCTTCCAAGACCACAAACTTAAAGTAAGTAAAGAAGACAGTAAAATTCTTAAAAAGGCTCGGAAAGATGGATTTTTGCATGAGATGCTTCTGGACAGGTAGATATTTATTTACTTATTTCCAACTATTTTCAGTGGCCAATAGAAATGGCATGTAGAAAACCTGTGTTCTCTTAAATTACTGTAGTTTTCACATTTTTGTCTTTATTTCTAATTTATGAATGTGGCAATATTACCTAGAGAGGACATCGTAAGTCTGGGGAAAGACTGTCAAGAAAGAACATGCAAAAATTATAACCGATTCTAAGTATATACATTAAGAAATTCAAGTTTGATTGTATCTGCTTCATAAATTTGTTACTGCCTTTTTATAAGTATTAGAACCAGAGTTAGAAACAGTGTGACTAATATAAAAATTCTCTAGATTGTTAGAGTAATTCAGTTTCCTTAAAATAAGAATAGATCAACTGAAAAACTAAGTTATAAAAGCTAAACAAGTGAAATTGAAGCAGTTTTATTGTAAGATTTGGAAGTGTGCAGGATGTTTATCCTAGCACATTATTAATATTTATTACCCTTCCTATGTAGATAAGTAATGTCCTAGATTTACAACATAGAGGTAGAAATGATTAGCTGTGAGTGTGCAAGTATAAATCAATTAAGTGCCAGATTTTGATAATCAACAGCCACTCATTTAAGTCCTATGTTGCAAAGTTACTTTCACCCTGTTTTTTACATTACTTGATAAAGGGAATGTTTAATTATTAACTAGTTGGTAGGGTTCATACCTAAAGTCAGTAAATAATGTTAAGAATTTTTTCCAGCTGAGCAAATGAATCTGTGTCTAGTTCTAAGAAATCAAGAGGAAGTTATAAAATATAATCAGGAAGTAGAGTCTAAAACAGAATAAGCTGTATGTCCTTATAATTTTTATCACTTGCAATAATACAATATTGTCACTCTGTTAAATGAAAATTTAGAGGACACTTAAATTCAGAAATAACTAAAATTGCTATTGTGGATTGGAAAAGCCTTTAGGCAACATTTGTTGAATATTAGGAAATAACTTTTATAAGATTAGAATCCATTTTTTATAGAAACCAAATTTAAAAGTATGCATATTTTAATGTAAGTGTTGTAGTAATAAACCAAAATCGAGCATACAGTTTTAAAGCTTTTTACATTTAGTAGCAGTTGAATATATATGGCATGTTTTACATAGATTAATTTTATTACTTTTCTTTGTTTAAATAGGAGAGCCAAATTGAAAGCTGACAGATACTGCAAATGACTGAGGTTGTTGTTTCTGCTTTATCTTTTTGTGGTGTTTTTTTCTTTTTTCTAAATAAAATATTCAGAGGAAGTGCTTTTACAGGTTCTTGAGTTGTTGTGAAATTATTAACTAGTAGCTAGTTGAACCAGGATTAAACAAGTTTAATCAAGATTCTTCACAGATGTACTTTTTAGCTGACTACAGATTTTCACATGGAAATGAAATTTACAGTACACACTTAACGTACCACAGAATTTCTTTCTGTATTTCCTGTCCTGAAGCATGAAGTGTAGTCTAAGAAATCAGTTCTTCCTGTGTTCCTTGTGGAACCTGTCGCATTTCCTGTCGCATTTCATCGTAATGTTACTTAACTTGATACAATAGATGCTTCATCAGTGCCTTTAAGAAAGTTAGAAATTCCCAATCCAAGCAGCAAGGCCTTGATTCTACCTCCTAAGGACTACCCAGATCACAGACAATCAAGACAAATATCAGAACTGGGGGGCTGGGCAGAGAGAACAAGTCATCTGTTAGGGAGTGGGACGGAAAGTGGAAACAGTACAGAAGAGCAGATAGGCCCAGAACAGTGGGGAAGAGAGTAGTACTGGGGAAAACTCCCTAATGACAGGTTAGCCGCAGATCCTGGATATGTGTGTGATGCTTCTGTCCTCACTAGTGGGCGGGAATGGAGGCTGATGAAGTTCAGACACTTAAGTGTTGCTCAGAACTGCTTTGTTGAAGCCTGTGTTTTGTGAGTACCTAAACACAGTGTTCCGGTGGGATCTGATCCCAATGAGTGGTCCAAATCCAGGTTGTGTATCAAGTGTCACGGGAAATTCTGCCTCAGGACTGAGGTGGTTTCAGGCCTCTGGATGTTGTCAAAAGTCCACATTGTGAGCTGGCCTAATTTGAAAGACCCTATCTAGTTCTAGCCTTTAAATTCCGTTTGTCCCCAAATCTAGTGTTACATGGCATCTGTACAAGCTAGGTAGCTGAGCCACGGGATCAGCCCTATGAAGGAGCTTTGTTGTAGGTCTAGCTCCAACTTGACACTGCAGTTCCAATAGCTGGACATTCTGTCATCTGCGTTCTTCTGATCCTTGGATTGGGAACAAGGTTACTACTATGATCCCACAAAGCAGTGGTTCTGGTTCCCAACTGGTTACTGTTTTGCCTTCCAGGGGACATTTTTGGTTTTCACAACTGGGATATGGTGTTAGAGGGTAGAGGCCAGTGATACTGCGAAGCATATAGCAAAATCCTATTCCGCCCAGAATGCTACCCGTGCCAAGGTTGTGGAGCCTTCCCACCCAAGGGCCTGGTCTATTCCTTGCTTTGCCAGCTCGCTAACCCTTAAACATAACAGTTCAAATTTATGCATAAGCATCTCCTAAGGGACCTGCGCATTTCCAGTATCAACTGCTGAGACCCATCCGTAGAGAGGCAGGTTTAGCAAGTCTAGGATTGGGCTCAACACTTGAATTTTAACAAGTGCTCCAGGTCATTCTGAAGCAAGTGATAGGAACCACACATTGAGGAACACTGCCTTCAAGAGATTGAATCTTGCTTCTAAACACTAGCTGGTATCCGAGACCATTTGCCTGCTCAGATTTTCCTGGCCCAAACATTCTCCCTTCTCTATTTTCCCGGCTTGTCGCAAAGCTTCCCAACAGCGCCCTGACTCTGGCTCTTCCTTTGTGACTCCCCCACGCCTGTGCCCCCACCGTGTCGTGGGGTGTATCCGAGAGGCCATCCGAGCAGCCCTTGGGCTCCGTAGCAGCCTGAGGGCTCCCCAGCCTAGAAGCTAAGCAGGGTCGGGCCTCGGTGGGGCTTGGATGGGGGACTGTTTGGGGACACTGTGGGCTAGAGGCTTTTGGCTTCCTGCTTCCTCCTTTTTTTTTTTTTTTTTTTTGGCTTCTCGCAACCCTTCCCCACCACCCGCTGACTCGCTGGCCCCTTCTTTCAAGCCAGCCTGCTCCCCCGTGCAGCCAGAGACTGACCCGAGCGGCTTTGGGCAGCCTCCGAAAACCATAGTCTGAGGGGCAGGGGTGGAAGCCAAAAGCCTCCAGGCCCAGGCTGGTCATTCCCTTCGGTACCCCATCTGAGCCTCAGTCAGGCCCGTCCCTGCTCAGCTTCTGGGCTGGGGCGCCCTCCGGCTGCTGTGGTGACTGGGGGGCAGCCCGAACGGATCCCCCACGGGGAAGCCCCAACCCCAGACAGGGGCGCAGGTGGGCAGGAAAGGGGAAGGTCAGGGAGTCAGAGGGCGGGTGGGAAGAGTTGCCAAAAGCGGGAGACAGCCTCCAGCCAGCGGACCCCACAAATGGTCCCGTATCCAAGGCCCGGCCGCGCCCTCCTTGCTCGGCTTCCGTGCTGGGGCGCCCTCCGGCTGCTAGGCCTACGAGGGTCAGCCGGGACAGACCCTCACGGGGAGGCGCAGCTGGGCGGGAAACGGTGTCCAGAGAGTCTGGGGGCCGTTAAGAGGTGCTGTGACAGGGAGGAAAGCCTCCAGCCCCGGCCTCCGCAGGCGGTCCCCCATCCAGGCCTCAGCCCCTCCCGGCCCTGCTTAGCTTCCGGGCTGCTCCGGCTCACAGGCCCGTCCGGGCAAACCCTCAAAGACGTACCGGTGGCTTGAACGCGGCGGGCGGTGCCGGAGCTGAGCGGGACCGGCTCGGCTGGGTCTGGATGGGGGCTGTCCGGAGAGCTGCGGGCGGGAGGCTCTGTCCTCGCTGCTTTCTGCAGGTTCCCCCCCCCCCCACCGGGCCCAGCGCTTCCCAGCCGCCCCGGGATCCCGTCCTGAGGCCCGGACACCGCCGCACGGTGCTAAGCAGGGTGCGTCCCGGCTGCGCTCGGATGGGAGTCCGCCTGAAGACACGGGACGGACGCTTTGGCTTTCCGACTCCTGCTCTCCCCGCTTGTCGCAGCGTTTCCCAAGCGCCTCCTGACGCTCCGGCTTTGTATTTCCCATTCTACTTGCCTGCGCCCCCACCAAGAACAGGGACTTTTCGTGGGTGTCCGTCTCAGAAGCCCCCTGGTGAGATTGGAACATCGCCTTGGGACGTCCGGCCTTCAGACACTGACGGAACGACAGATGAATGTACTCCAACCATCACAGTGATTGCTGTAAGCTAGGGATGGACCATTGGCTACTTTCAGAAGGTGAAACGCATCCAACTGACCAAGACCCTCTGTTCACCCACACTTTGATTCCTGTAGATTTTACAACAGAGGTTCTAAGTCAGCATACTTGTGGATAATTAACATGGTTAAAAGAATGGTTTCACGACTGATAAATCTTTCGGTTCCAGGGCCTAAACACTATTAACAGGTAATTTCCCTTTGATCTCCTGACAGGACCACTCAGCACAAAATTTATAGGAGTTAACACAGTGGAGACAAAGAACTATGGGGTAAATGGAATTAAATTCGGAAGGTATTTGATCATCTCTCTTTCCTATGCTGATGTCAACTAGGCGGCTGCATTCAGCATGCCTCAATAAAACCTTCTGGCCTTCCAAAAGGTTTGAGATTACAATCTATAATTTTTCCAAATATTTAATGTTTTGTCAGCCACCCCAAGTAAATATCAACACTCTGGCACCAGAGCAGTTTGAGGGCACCCCATCCCAGAAGCTAAGCTGGGTCAGACTTGTCTGGAGCTTGGATGAGGGACCACCTGGGAACAACAAGGGCTGGAGGCTTTTGACTTTCCCCTTCTGGTTTTCCCTGCTTGTCCCAATGCTTCCCAACCACCCCGACTCGCTGCCTCCCCCTACTTTTTTCTGCCTGCCTGTGCCCCCATGGAAGCCCTGTACATTCTTTCGGCGGTCTGCCCAGCAGCCCTCAGGCATTTTAGCACCGAGGGGGCCAAAGCATGGAAGCTAAAAAGAGTCAAGCCTGGCTGGAGCTTGGATGGGGGCCGCCTAGAGAGACTGGGGACTGCAGGCTTTTAACTTCCCGCTGCCTTTTCACTTTTCTTTGCTTGTTGCAACGCTTCCCAACTGCTCCCTGACTCTGGCCCCCTGTTTTCCATCAGCCTGCAAGCCCATTGCAGCCTAGGACCTCCTGGTAAAAATTTGTCCTTGTAGACCCCAGGTGTCATAGCAACCTGAGGGTGCTCCAGCCCGGGAGCTGAGCAGGATCACACCTGGCTGGGGATTGGATGTGACTGACTGGGGGTACAGGGGGCTGAAGCCTTTTGGCTTATTGCTGCTCCCTTCCCGATTTCCCCCGATTGTAAGGCTTTCCAAACACCCCAACACTCTGCCCAGGCCTTTTCCCTGCCTGAGACCCTGCCACGCCCAGGACCTCCCTGAGGGGTCTGTCCCTGAAGTCACTGAACGCCATTGCAGCCTCAGGGCGCCTCGGCCTGGAAGCTAAGCAGCGTCAGGCCTTGTTTGGGCTTGGATGGGGGACCGCCTGAGCACCTGGAAAGACCCGGGGCTGGAGGCTTTACCTTTTTGCCTTCTTCGAGCTTTCCCGTTTGTCCAACACTTCCCAACTACCACCCGACTCTCTGTCTCCACTTTCCTGGTTGTCTACCTCCCCGCCGAGACCTGTGTCATCCCTGTGAGGCATAATTGCAAGCATTATTCCATGATGAGACTCTCCAAACTCAAGTTACCTGGGCTTCCCCTCCACCCATCATTTTGTCACCC